TATCCAGAAGGAAGGAAATAATAACGATCAGAGCAGAAATAAACGACATAGAGACCAAAAATACAACACAAAAGATCAATGAAACCAAGAGCTGGTTCTTTGAAAGGATTAACAAGATTGATGAACCTCTTGCCAGGCTCACCAACAAACAAAGAGAGAGGACCCAAATAAAGAAAATCAGAAATGAAAGAGGTGAAGTAACAACTGACCCTACAGATATACAAAGGATTGTCAAAAAATACTACGAACAACTCTACTCCAACAAACTGGACAACCTCGACGAAATGGATACAATCCTAGAAAAATACAAGCTTCCAAAACTCAATCAGGAAGAATCAAAAAAACCTGAATAGGCCAATAACTACTGATGAAATTGAGACAGTAATCAAAAAGCTTCCAGCAAACAAAAGTCCTGGACCAGATGGCTTCACAGGGGAGTTATACCGAACATTCAAAGAAGAACTAAAGCCAATCCTTCTCAGACTATTCCAAAAAATTCAAGAGGAAGGCACACTTCCAAGCTCTTTCTATGAAGCCAGCATTACCCTAATCCCAAAACCAGATAAAGACACCACAAAGAAAGAGAATTACAGGCCAATATCCCTGATGAACATAGATGCTAAAATCCTCAACAAAATTCTAGCAAACCAGATCCAGCATTACATTAGAAAGATCATACACCATGACCAAGTGGGATTTATTCCAGGAATGCAAGGCTGTTATAATATCTGCAAATCAATAAACGTGATACATCACGTAAACAAATTGAGAGACAAAAATCACATAATCATATCGATTGATGCAGAAAAGGCATTTGACAAAGTCCAACACCCTTTTCTGATAAAAATGCTCAGCAAAGTGGGAATAGAGGGATCATACCTCAACATAATAAAAGCCTTATATGATAAATCTACAGCCAACATCATACTCAATGGACAAAAACTAAAACAATTTCCCTTAAGAACAGGAACAAGACAGGGATGCCCACTTTCACCACTCCTGTTTGACATAGTACTAGAAGTGCTAGCCAAAGCGATCAGACAAGAAGAAGAAATAAAAGGCATCCAAATTGGAAAAGAAGAAGTAAAATTGTCATTATTCGCAGATGACATGATACTGTACTTAGAAAACCCTAAAGACTCCATCAAAAAATTATTAGACCTAATAAATGAATTCGGCAATGTAGCAGGATACAAAATTAACACCAAGAAATCTATGGCATTTTTATACGCCAATAGTGAACTCACAGAGTGAGAAATTAAAAAAACAATCGTATTTACCATTGCACCAAAAAAAAAAAATTAAGATACCTAGGAATAAACTTAACTAAAGAGGTAAAAGACCTCTACCCAGAAAACTACAGGACATTGAAAAAAGAGATAGAGGAAGACATAAACAGATGGAAGAACATACCGTGTTCATGGATTGGTAGAATCAACATCATCAAAATGTCCATACTACCCAAAGCAATCTACAGATTCAATGCACTCCCCACTAAAATACCAACAGCATATTTCACAGACCTAGAAAGAATTCTCCAAAAATTCATCTGGAATAAAAAAAAACACCCCGAATAGCTGCTGGGATCCTGAGAAAGAAAAACAAAGTAGGAGGGATCTCAATACCAGATATCAAGCTGTATTACAAAGCCACTGTTCTCAAAACTGCCTGGTACTGGCACAAGAACAGATATATAGACCAATGGAATAGAATAGAGAACCCAGAAATCGACCCAAACCACTATGCTCAATTAATATTTGACAAAGGAGGCAAGAACGTGCAATGGAGTCAAGACAGTCTCTTCAATAAATGGTGCTGGGAAATTTGGTCAGACACGTGCAAAAAAAAAAAAATGAAACTAGACCACCAACTTACACCGTACACAAAAATAAACTCAAAATGGATAAAGGACTTAAACGTAAGACGGGAAACCATAAAAATATTAGAGGAATCCACAGGTAGCAAAATCTCAGATATATGCCGAAGGAATTTCTTCACTGACACAGCCCCTAGGGCAATGGAAACTAAAGGGAAAATAAACAAATGGGACTATATCAAAATAAAAAGCTTCTGCACTGCAAAATAAACCATCAACAAAACAACAAGAAAACCCACTGCATGGGAGAACATATTTGCCAATGATATCTCTGATAAAGATTTAATCTCCAACATTTACAGGGAACTCATACAACTTAACAAAAGGAAGATAAACAACCCAATCAAAAAATGGGCAAACGGACCTAAATAGACACTTTTTGAAAGAGGTGAGAGACATGAAAACATGCTCAAAGTCACTAATCATCTGAGAGATGCAAATCAAAACAACAGTGAGGTACCACCTCACACCTGTCAGAATGGCTATCATCAACAAATCTACAAATGACAAATGCTGGCGAGGATGTGGAGAAAAAGGAACCCTCGTTCACTGCTGGTGGGAATGCAGACTGGTGCAGCCACTGTGGAGAACAGTATGGAGTTTCCTCAAAAAACTAAAAATGGAACTTCCATTTGACCCAGTGATCCCACTTCTAGGAATATATCCCAAGAAACGAGAAACACCAATCAAAGGATATATGCACCCCTATGTTCATAGCAGCACAATTTACCATAGCTAAGATTTGGAAACAGCCTAAGTGCCCATCAGCAGATGAATGGATTAAAAAACTTTGGCACATCTACACAATGGAATACTATGCAGCTGTAAAAAGGAAGGAACTCCTACCATTTGCAACAGCATGGATGGAGCTGGAGAGCATTATGCTAAGTGAAATAAGTCAGTCAGAGAAAGATAAATATCACATGCTCTCACTCATTTGTGGATTATAATGTACAACATAAACCAATGCACAAAAACAGATGTAGAAACAGAGAAGCATTGATTAGATGCTCAAAACTCAGAGGGAAGATAGGGGAGGGTGGGGGTGAGGAGGAGAGATCAACCAAAGGACTTGTATGCATGCATATAAGCATAAACGATGGATGTGGACAACAGGGGGTGAGAGTGAGGGCAGGATTGGGGGGATGAGGGTAATTGGGGGGATAAGGACACATTTGTAATATCTTAATCAATAAAGGGGGAAAAAATCTGCTTCTGCGTGTGGCCCCTGTGCGGTTTGGGGTGGACTGGCCGAATAGTAAGTCCTCATGGGCATGTGCAAACCAGAGTTTTACATCCGTTTATGTAACACATGTAAACAATTTAATCTTCCCATTCTCACTCTGGTACAGACGTTGCGATAACACAGACATCAGTGCTGGCTCGCCTCGAGGCTGTTGGCAGAAAAGGCAGTGTTTGCTTCCCTTTCCCAGCCCGGTGGCCGCAGCACTGAGGACTCCCCACACGTGTGTCCGGGGAGATGCACGTCACACACCCAGCGATTTGTGTCACACTGGGAGCTCTGTTTACTCCTCCCCAGTGGGTATTTGGAGTCTTTATGTCAGCAAGGAGCCTGAACACGCACTTGGTGGCGCCCCGGAAGGGCCAAGTGCATCAGGGGAATGTGGTTTGGAGCTGTGTCCTCACCGATGCAGTGCTGACTGCAGCAGAGGCCGGAGCTAACGACCCCTTTCCCTTGCCAGAGTCCTGGACACTTCATGGTGTTTGAAAACTGGCTTATAGGAATTGAAGAACTTGTGACCTTAGGCCATTTGCCTAATCCCTGTGAGCCTGAGGGTCCTCATTTGTAAACAGGCTTCTTCTTACAGGGATGAGCAATAATTTATGAAAAGCACCTCATGGCACCATGCCTGGTATATGAGGGGCTGGTAGCATAATTATGATGCTCCTTTAACAATACGAGTTTCTAGTATGTTACCAGGTGTTGCTTTTCCCCTACTTATCGAGAGACCTTGACACCATACCTCCATTTTCAGATGTGTGTTCACAGTTGGGCTCCTAAAAAGATTCAAAGTATCAGAGATGAGCTTCCTCCAGTGACTGCCCCTCCTTATTCAGCTGTTGTTGTCCATGCTTTTTTTCCCAGTCACCCCAGATATGGTGCTTGAAGAGTTCTTCCTAGGCTCTGAATAGTCTTAGGGATGCTCATAAAACACCACCCCCCCTGGCACAGAGGACTGCTGTGGCCAGTCCTTGTGCTGACGGCTGGGCATAGAGAGAGCAGAGCTCTGTCTGGACCTGCTCACAGGCAAAGGAGAAAGGGTGGGGACGGGGATTATCAATACATCAGAGCGATGCCCCATGGCAGGAGCCAGAGGTGCAGGGGGTGCCTGGAGGACAGAGTGCAGGCCATTCAGAGGAGTCAGACTAAGTGCCCCTGCCAAGGTTACATTTGAATGGGCCTTGAAGGATATGTAGGAGTTTGCTAAGCACAGAGGGTTGGAAAGGCTCTTTGGCAGGAGAGAGAACAGCATGTTTCACAGAGCCCGTGCTAAGGATATGATGTATTTGTGGGATGGTGGTTCGTTTATTGTGATGGGGACATAAAATTCATGAAAGAGCTGTCCTGTGAAGAACCTTGCATCATGGTAAGGAGTTCAGCTGTAGCCCCACAGGTGATGGAGAGCCCAGGGGCATTATATTTCCTAGTACTAGTACTTTTATGCATGTGAGTAAAAGTAGGGAGTTTAAAGCATAAGTCCACATGTAGCAGAAAAGTTTACTCTAAAAATCAGTGTCTATTTTAGCTGGGGGAATGTGGGGTCTTCAGCTGACTTATTGAGAGTCAGCATAGGAAGGAGTTTTATGTTGGAAAATGCAGGTGCATCTTCTGTGTCGTATGCTTGAGGATGGAGCTGCCCACGTTCATCTCTACAGGCCTCCCTTAGGGCTTAGGTTCTTCTGCTTCCTAACCTCAAGATTTCTCATGTCACTATGAATTTTACGAAGATGAGGTTCATACAAGAAGGAAATGAGAAGAAATAGTTGTGTTCCCCATTTCCCCCTAGGGTCTCACAACCTATTGCCACTCCCCATCCTCAAAGATCTGAATTTGGCTCTCCAAGCCATCTGATGGAGTCTCCCCATCTCCCCCATCTTCCAGGGCCTCGGGAAGCATGTGTGGTGCCTGCACAGAGGATGGGACGTTCCGTCAATATGTGCACACAGCTTCCTCCCGGCGGGTGTGCGACTCCTCAGGGTACTGGACTCCAGAGGAGGCAGTGGGTAAGGACCATGGCTTTCTCCTTTAACCCTGATAGTTGGTGAGAATGGGGGTGGAGGTGGAGGGTGGAGAGGTGGCATGCACATGTATGTGAGTGTGTGTGTGTGTGTGTGTGTGATTTGCTGGGAAACACATTCTCTGGTATCTTTGTGTGCTGGATGTCCTACACGTGCTTAGGGTGGCTGTGGTGAGGCCAAGGTCAGCATGGAAGACGGGTGGTGAAATCAGCTAAAGCAGGAGGTGACCTCAGGATGTGACTGCTCATAAGTGGTGTTTCAGGTGCTTACAGCACCCGGTGCCGCAGGACAGTGCCAGCCCACCTGTCCCTCCCTCCTAGGAGAGGAATGGAGAACACGTTGCAGGGAACACTCAGACATGGGCCAAGCCAGTCTGGGTGGGTGTGGGGTGCACCAGGGGTTCCAAGCGAAGCATTCTCATTTTTGCCATTTTATGAGGCTATTAATTGCTGGTACTAGCTGTGCTTTGGCTAAGATCTAAGCTGGGCTCCCAGAGGGGGGATGTTTTTCGCTGTCCCTTCTGCTGTCTCTCCCCCAGCTTCTCAGTTACATATTCACTCACATTCCTCTCAGACAAATCAGAGCATGAATGTTATCCCAACTCAAGTCCAAAAAATGTTGGTCCATGAGTGTTAGTACCTGATCACTGGCTTAACTTCTCCATCCTCTCCATCTTCCGTGTTTATCTAATCATCCTCTTTCTCTTTTTTTTGTACTTGTTAAGATCCTAAAGGCTTCTCAGTAAGATGTGTTGGACAAGATTCTGTTTGAGTTAGTTTACGGGCTTGACTCTGACAAGACAAATGGAGAACATTGGCTTAGGAGCTGACACTGTCCACCAGCTGTCCCCTTGGGCTCCCACTTCCTCAGATGACAGGAGCCTCAGGGAGAAGGCTTGAGAGGGACAGTTTATCCAATTTTTCATATAGGACTCTTTCCAACTGAGAGATCCCGGGGCAGAACAGAAAGTTGCTATAAAATTTACGTTGGCATTGCGTGGGCTATTTAGATATTGGCATTTCATATAAGGCTGTTTCTGGCCTTGTTGTCCTGGGCTGGTGTTTTAGTGCCCATCTAACTCTCTGTCCCTGAAATTTTTCTCTTTAATTCTTGGGAAAATTTAAAGTTATCTGGTAGAAATGAAAGGAATGAGAAGTTCTCAGTTCCTTGTTTTGTGTCTTCAGGCAAACCAGGTCAACTTTTAGGGCCTTGGTGTCATGTTTGAACATGAGATTATAATAAAAACTTTCTAACAGATGCTACTGCATTAGGGGTCACTTCCAAAGGGGTTGCTAGTATTTTGGAACAACTATCAGAAAATAGTGCTAAGAAATACTGGTCTTCCTCTGCTTTGAAAAGGTGAAGAACCAAGTCATATTTGAAATATACACAGTGAAAGTAATTGAATCCTCAGCAGAGCATACACAAACACATATATTTACAGACATGCTCAAAACCTATTTAATGACACTAAATGAACACTTACCACCAACTACTTTCTAAATTCTACGGGGAATAGAAATGTGAACCAGCCATATGCTCTGCTTAAATGTTGCCTTCTTGGTGACAACTTCCACGTCCCCATAATCTAAAATAGCCCCCAGCCTCACTCCATCATTCTCTAGCCCCTATGCTCCTTCACTTTTCTTCAAAGATGTCATTACCACCACTTGGAATCACCCTTCTACCTTCTACTATTTATTGTTGCACCTGTCACTTCACTGTAGAATATATGAGATCTTTACCTCTCTTGTTCAGTATTCTACCTTCAATACCTAGATTAGTACTAGGTGTGAAAGAGGTATGCAGTACTTTTTTTGTTGAATGAATGAATGAATGAATGGTTTCACAATATAGGTAAAAATAGTAAGGACCGTAAGATGTAATACACACATACATCACACACATGGAACAACACACACATACACACACACACACGTACATACATTTGAACATGTTTCCTCTGGGCTTATCCTATTGTTTATTTTCCAGATTCTAAAGGGCTACTTAGTTCTATTTTTGCAAATGTAGTTTGAAAATGTTCCTCTGGAACATTGTATAAATCTTCCACACTAGCTAGTAAAGTGGGGGTTAAATAGTACTTATATTATAAATGAGGAGATTAAGGCTTAAACAGACCTGCCATAGCCGCACAGCACTGGTTGGAGCCCAGCTCTGCTCATGCCTGATTTAGCACTTTTTCTGCATGTGACAAAAAAGAAAACAGCAAAAAACCCCACAACAAAAAACAAAACAAAACAAAACACCGCCTCATGGAGATTTTTCCCACAGAGCCGACCTTTATATTACTTGCGATATATGGTTTTTCACCAATACAATTTTGCTTGGCTATTGAATCTCCATTGCTTTCCACTCAAGAAAGTGTCCTCTTTCCTGCCTGCCGTTTTCTCTGTGCAGCGACCTGCATGCTCCCATGGACCTGAGCCAAGCGTATGGCTGTGAAGGCACCACCTTAGGGGATGAAAGTTTTGTGGAGCCCAGTTAAACAGAGTGTGGTGTCAGAGTGAAGCAGACATTGGCCTTATTGACAAATAAAACAGGGCATCAGAAGCATTAATTTATCCTAAATTATTAACAAACTAAGTACAAGGACAGTGACTGAGCTTCTCTGCCTGGCTTCAGGCTCCCACCTAAGCCTCCTCCTTCCACTTGGCCTCAGGCTCCCACCTGGCATCCGGGTCGCAGGACTCCTAGGGCCCAACTGGAGCTCTTGTTAAAAGACACCAAGTAGAAGATGTGGATGGGGACATAGTACTTTTGAATTGTTACACCTGTGTCCTCAGTCGTACTTGAGACCTAACCCACTCAGCTGATCAGCTTCTGCAGGAATTTGTTCGTAGTTTTCTTCTTCCTCACTCTTCTTTCTGGCTGCCACCATGGGCTACTCACCTGCAGACTTATGATGGTCGTGCCTGATGGGTCTATCTTTCTGTCCACCTCCCCTAGGGCCCCCCGATGTGGACCAGCCCTGCGAGCCAAGCCTGCAGGCCTGGAGCCCCGAGCTGCACCTGTACCAAATGAATATGACGGTGCCTTGCCCAGCGGAAGGCTGCAGCCTGGAGCTTCTCTTCCAGCACCCAGTGCATGCCGACACCCTCACCCTGTGGGTCACCTACCTCTCTGTGGACGCCTCCCAAGCGCTCTTTGACACAGAAATCTTGCTGGAACACCAGAAGTCTGTGCACCTGGGCCCCCTGAACACTTTCTGTGACACCCCACTCACCATCAAGCTGCATGTCGATGGCAAGGTCTTGGGGGTGAAGGTCTACACCTTCGATGAACGGCTGGAAGTGGATGCCGCCCTCCTGACGTCTCAGCCCCACAGCCCCCTGTGCTCTGGCTGCAGGCCCCTGCGGTACCAGGTGCTCCGGGAGCCCCCCTTCGCTAGCGGCTTACCTGCTGTGGCCACACACCCTCACAGGAAGTTCACAGACACGTGAGTTTGGAAGTGGGGCTTTCTAAACCATGATGCTTCTCAGTCTCTGGCCACCCATGATGTGCATTCCATGCTTTCTCTTTTTCTTATTCCTCTCTCTCTCTCTCTCTCTCTCTCTCTCTCTCTCTCTCTCTCTCTCTCTCTCTCTCTCCCTCCCTCTCTCCTTCTCTCCCAACTCTCCTCTTACTCTTCCTTCTGGCCTTCTGCGTTTAGTGAGTTCTACTGTGTTCCTGGCACTGTGTGCCCAGTGCTGGGACACAGACTAAGATAAGGTCACTGGCTTAAAAGAGTTCAATGTCTAGAGTGGGAGGCTGGTATCACCAAAGACAAATTCTCCCTACCCCTAAGGGCAGAACTCAGGGTAAAACAAGTTTTATCAGAGGTGCTATATTTTGCCGAGTTAGAAATAATCATGAAACATAGTGGGTTAATACAACAAACACTATTTCTCATGATTTTATGGGTTGGCTGGGTGTCCCCAGGGGGACTGGCTTGGCTGGGGTTAGATGGCTCAGGATGGCCTCGTGCACACATTGGAGGCTCGATGGAGGTGGCTGGCATGTTTGGGAAGCCCAAGGCCTCCTTCTACACCATCCCTCATTGCCCAGTAGGCATGGCCTGGGCTTCTCCTCCTGGGGGTGGCAGGGTCTCCAGCAGCAGGGAGGGCAGACCCCAAAACTCTCACATTTTTTAAGGCTCTGCTTATGTTACTCATGATAACATTCCAGTAGCCAAAGCAAGTCAATTTCTGATTCAGGGGTGGCAGACAAGTCCTTATCCGCTAATGAAAGGAACAGCGAAGTCACATGGCCGAGGGGGCACATCTGGGATGGGAGGAGTCTGGGCCATCTGCCCCAGCTACAAAACAGTAGAGACAAATGTTCACCTTGAGCTTTCCTACAGTTTCCTCCCCTACTTGCTCTCCAAATTGGAACTAGAAGACAGTGAAATGGTCCAAAAGCTCATGCAAATGGGAGGATAGCTCATGGGATGAATTTTAAAAGAATATCATTTTTGAGCTTCTCTAATTGGGCAGTTAACATGACACTCATTAAATAACTTGATATCTACACACACACACACACACACACAAACACACACACGTGCGCACACACGCACACACATGCTCATACACATTCTTTAAGGTTGATAGTATCCCATTCTGTAGATTAGAAAACCTAGCTTAACTGTGATTTGGTTGAACAGAGCTAGTTAGTGGTTGTCTCAGAATTAAAATCTAATTTTCTGACCAAGTCTCATTTGGTTTCCTTTCCTTAGTAACAGACTGCCTTTTACAAAGTTGCATCATGGAAGGTTAGGGCCCCCTCCCCATCCTTTTCCAGCCATAGCACAGTGTCAAACTTATGCATGGCTGGATGAGAAGTCCAACAGAAACCTCCCTGGAAAGAGAAGCCATCAGGATTGATTTGCTTTTGAAAATACCTGGCACTCTCATGAGAAGATTGCTTCCCCAGAGACAGCTAATTTAGAAATGTAAAAGTCTGTAATATTAGGTGTCTTTTCTGTTAAAACTAGAGGGCCGGTGCATGAAATTCATGCACTCGGAAGGGGGAGGGAGGTTCCTCAGCCTGGCCTGTGCCCTCTTGCAGTCCGGGAGCCCTCAGGGGATGTCTGACTGATGGCTTAGCCGTCATCGGACATCCTTAGTGCTGCTGCGAAGGCACGAGAAGTTGCCGCCACGGCTGCTGCGCTTGCCAGCTGTGAGCCCGGCTGAGCAGCGCTCCCAATGTGGGAGTGCACTGACCACCTGGAGGCAGCTCCTGCGTTGAGCGTCTACCCCCTAGTGGCCAGTGCGCATCATAGCGACTGGTCTTCCGCTGTTTGGTGGATTTGCATATTAGCCTTTTATTATATAGGTCAACTAAAAGCCAGTACAGAGTTTTTTAACGGTGTTTTTGAAACCCTATGACATTTCTTGTCTGGTGGTGGCAGCGTCAAGTGAGAGGGTGACACTTTGTGGTTGAGGTGAAGAGCCTGGTGGCGAAGAGAAGGTTCTGGCAGGACATTCACAGTGGCCACATGTGCGAGTCCTAACAACCCTTTGAGACCCTGCCTCTGAAGGCACTCCCAGCCCACCAGCCCACCTGGACTCTGGCAGTAGTTTTCCAGGGCAGGCACTGTACTAAATTAAGATGAAGGAAGACTTTGTTTCTGGAACCAGCAGTCTCCCAGTCAAGCCTCTACCCCTTCTAAATGTCCTGTCCCTCACGCTCTCCACCTGTCTGTGCACGTGGACTTTGGAGAGAGCCTGGTAGACTCCTTCCATCTATGCTGCAACTGATACAACTCCACACCTGGAGTGTGTGCATTTTGACAGGTTCAGAGGTGGGGAGTAATTGAACACATTTCTAATTATGGAGTTTCTTGCATCCCCAAAATGATGGAAGGTGTCCTCACCTCCTAGAAGACAGTGCTCTCCTGAGGATTCCCTATGGATTCAGTCTACCCAAGACAAGAATTTTCTCAAGAGACAAAAGCAAGCAAACAAAAAAACCTGTAATCCACGAAGGGCCTTGCTGAACCCATACTCTGAAGTTTCATCTTCCCTTTCTTTGGTTACTTTGCAAATACACTGCCTTTTCAATAGTTGGTGTTACTTTTCAACATGGTAAAGATACGCAGGAAATACCACCCTCCTATATTTTGTAGGACTGTTAGTTCAGTGTTAATTCAGCCTTGATTTACTGCATACTCACTATGTGGGATGCACTGGGAATACTGAAATGAATATGGTCTTAAACATTCTGCTGCTGCGGGAGACTGTGTGCCCTGGTCTTTGCTTTCAGAAAATATGGCATGTGTTTAGCATTCATGCTCCCCATAACATTTATTTTAAATTCCTGCAAACATTCTGGATGTGGTAGTCACAGCCCATTCGTTTCCACAGGGAGGTCACACCTGGGGAGGTGTATCAGTACCAAGTTCAAGCTGTGGCAGGAGCAGAGCTGGGAGAAGCTTCGCCGCCTCTGATCCACATTCATGGAGCTCCTTACTGCGGTGATGGGAAGGTGGCCAGGTGAGTGCTGTGTGCATGGGAATGTGAGAGCAGGGCCCCTGCTCTGAGCGGGAGGGTCCGCCTCCAGTTTCAGTGAGAGTTGTTTTGGAAAAGAAAGTGACAGGGTACTCTGGGACCTGGCAGTGATCTTGTGAGGTCACTCACATTCCTGCGTAGTTCAGGAGGGACCCACTTTTATTTAGATCTGACCCCACAATACTGAGATATTGAGGCTGATTCTAGGGGGTGGGTGGGTGGCTTTTAAGGTTTCAGAGAACTGTGGTCCAGGGAAGGCATTTGTAGGGAAGAAGGTTACTTGCCAAATGATGCTACAAGAGGATGTGAGGATACTTGTGGATCAGTGGCCTGTCACTCCTAACTAGCGGTGTGATCTGAGGAAGGCCAGTAGAGCTCTCTGAGTGCCACTTATTGGACCCTTAGAAGACCTTCATGCAATGTAGTTTGCAGCTATTCTATAAAATCACCAACATAAAGGTGGAATTCCCCTTTTGGTATCTTAACATTCTGTGTTCCTTTATCTGCTGCTCTTTTGCAAAATTAACCTAGAAGACTAATCACTTAGTTTGCCTGGGACTTTTCCAAATTTAGCACAGAAAACTCCCATGTCCCAGGGGTCACACTATATCAACCTGTCCTGGATGCTCTTCTGACATCACCTGCCACGTACACAAGCTGCTGGGTCCGTGATTTGTCCTAGATTTTGCATGCTAACAGCCTAGCTTATTTTTAATTCCCTAGACCAGGTGAAAATATATTGTATCATGAAGCCCTAATAGCAAGCAATTCCATAGCTTCTCTTGGGATCCCAACCCATTGTTTACCAATTACTAAACACTGTTTATCTTCTCAGTCTCCCAAGGTCCTTAAGTTTTAGTGTAAGCCTATTGCTTTTCATAAAAGTATAAACACCAAATGCTCTCAGACCTCAGTAATATATGGAGGTGATTGAGGTTACTTGAATACCCAAACCTCACTAGTTTACTGCCAATTTTTGCCTCACTCAGTCTCTGCATGCTGCCTGCTCTCTCCCCTCCCCATCACAATCAAATTTCTCCCTGGGGAAGCCTTGCCTGTGCACAGAATAAGTCTGGCTGATGTGTTCCCCAATCTGGCTGCCTCTTTTTAAGTCTGCTGCCCACCAATGGAGGTGTTTGGGGTGCATGGTCCCCGTTGCTACCCAGGTGGAGCCCTCCTTGAACAAAACACTCTGTCCTATGTTGTAGCCTCTCCTACAGCTGTTCTCTGATGGCAGCTGACTTGAGGTCCCATGATGCCACATCTGCCTGGGGGTCTGGGCAAAAGGAGTTAAGGTCCCTCTTCCTAACTTGGTATTGCACATTCTCTCCTGTGCCTTGAAGCAGCTTCACCTGAGGCAGTACCTGTCTGGCTACTGGGCCTCCCATGGCTCCTTATCAAAATGTACCTTTAAGCTCCCGTTATATTCCCTCTTTGTAAAGAGTCTCACTTAGTTCTGCCATCCAGCAGGAAGATGTCTCTGAATTGCTGCTTTGTCTCAGCTGGAGGTTCCCAATTACACATAAAACAAGAAGGAGCCATTGCAAGTTATTTAATCCACCTTTTAACTCGAGAAATTCATTCTGAGGGAATCACAGGTCCCCAAGAAGTCATGCTCAGACTCTAGTTTCAGTAAATTTTTTAATTAAAAGCTGGAAGTTGTCACTTTGGGAACCACTGATCAATAAGACTACCAAGACAAAGGCTGCAGAGGGCCTACCAGTTGCCCAGTATGGGAGCCACTAGCCAGAGTGACTGCTGAGCCTTTGAAATGTGGCAATCATAACTAAGAAACGGAATTTCAGTTAATGTTAAGTTATTTGAAGTCAGTTTAAACAAAACTTGATTCAGTTATTTAAAAAACTTTAAATTTCTCTGGAGCAATTTGGGTAGGTGAATCTCCCGTTTCAACTATAGATTTTAAGAAATCTGAAGACAGATTAGGTGTTTGAATTGAGATGTGTTGTAAGTGAAAAATAGACATCAGATTTCAAAGACCTAGAATTCAAAGAAATAATGTAACGTACCTTAGTAATAATTTTTTAATTATTGATAATGCAATATTTTGGATATATTGGACTAGATGAAATATAGTTCAAACTAATTTTACCTGTTTCATTTTACTTTTTAATGTCACTTCTAGAAAATTGGAAAGTATATATAATATGGGTCTCATTATATTTCTATTAGGCAGCAGTACATGAGATGATATACACTATGCTTATATTGTTTAGAGTATCTTCAAGATGAAAATGAACTTGAAGTTTCCTTAATTTCCTTAATTATGTTATTTTTATATATCATCTATCTTTTCTCCATTTACACCTTATCATTTAAAATATTATTATACAATTGCATTTATATCATTTTTAATTTATTTCAAAGCATTTTCATGTCTAATTACTTAATCTTCATTCCATCACTGTGAGGAGGTATACTTTAAACAATAGTTGTAGCTATTAGTGATGAATTGGGTCTGAAAAATTTGAGCATTCCAAAACCCTTTGCCTACTGAGTTAAAATGTGTGTCCATTTTTGACATGATAAAAAGTCAAGGAGAAACAATGGAAACCCTCAATCCATTTTACAACAGCTGAATCTTGGTTCTTTCAAAGTGGCTTTAACTGAAGTTTATCTATTTTGTTCCCCTAACATGCTTCATGTACCCCTCACTCTAACCTAACTTCCCCATCTCAATCCAAATTTAGTTGCTCATTGTATTAGCTTTTGAGGTTCAAAACAAAAATGATATTTTTCTTCTCCCAGTACAGGGTGGGGCAAAAGTTAGTTTACAGTTGTTAGTATGCAAAAAACAATTTATTCTTTTATTTTTATTTATTTTTGTATTATTTTCCACTAGAGGCCCAGTGCATGAAATTTGTGCACGGGTGTGGTCCCTAGGCCTGGCCGGTGATCAAAGTGCGAGTATCTGGCATGGAAGGGCAGGTCCCAACTAACTTCTGGGCCCTGGGCAGCACCTGGGCCCCCAAGCCCCCATGCATCCCGCTCCTCCTGAGTCATGGCCCCTGAGTCCTCACACGTGGAGATGCGGTGAGCGCAGCCAGACGCCATGGGCCAGGGCGCAGCGTGGGCCCCTGTGGTCCCAGCGGCTGCAGCCCAGCTCACCTGGAAGAGGTCACGCAGTTGTGGGGTGGGTTCCTCGTGGGCACCCAGCACCTGAGCGCGGGGGTGGTGGGGGGGGGCGCGCTTCCCTGGCGCACAAGCCCTGGCATCAGGGGCAGGGTAGCAGGGGGAGTGAGAGCAAGCTTGGCAGACACCTGGCATTCTCACTGCACCTCTGTCCCCATCACCACTGCCCCCAGGTAGCTGGCAAGAGGTCGCAGCACATTGCGGATGCCTGCCATGTTCCACACTGCCCCCTGGAGATCAGCGCACGTCATAGTGAGCAGTCGAACTCTTGGTCAAATGACTGCCTGAGGGGACAATTTGCATATTAGGCTTTTATTATAAAGGACAGGAACATCTGTAAACCTACTTTTGCCCCATCCTGTATGTTTCTGCCCTGCAATACATGTTAGCTGCCACAAAGTGGTAATAGGGAGCAAGACAGCCTTAGAGATGCCTGGACTGAGGGAAGGCTGCAATTGGCTGCTGTGTCCCTTGGTATATAGACAGACTTCACTCCTACAAAATCCTAACTCTAACACAACTGCATATAGATGGAACAAAACAGTGAAAACAAAGAAATAGATAACAAGAACAGAAAACAGACCCACCTATCACAAGCAGTTTCCTCCTCGCCAAATCCACTACTTCTCAGACTGCATTCATAACAGGCTGGTTGGCATTTTCTAGCTCAGGACAACTTACTAGAAACACCATTAGGACCCTCATGGGTCTTCTAGATGTTTCTGAGCCATGAGCTACTTTGCATTAGAGGAATTCCCACTGGACATTATAATCAACTGTCATTGCTTAATTCTATAATTATATACTTAGTGTGTGTGTGTGTGTGTGTGAAAGCATTCTCCTAGCTCCCACTTTTTCCCACCACTTTTTCCCAGCTTGCAGTTTTTAAAATTTTCAGTTACAATCTATATTCAATATTATTTTATATAAGTTTTAACTTACAAAGTGTCCCTCCCCCCTGATATTTTTAGTACCCACCTGGCACTATACATTGTCATTACAATATTATTGACTATATTCCCTACGCTGTACTTTACATCCCTTTGACTATTTTGTAACTACCAATTTGTATTCTTTTAAAAAAATATATTTCTTTATTGATTTCAGAGAGGAAGGGAGAGTGAGAGAGAGATAGAAACATCAGTGATGAGAGAGAATTATTGATAGGCTGCTTCCTGCAAACCCCCTACTGGGGATCGAGCCCACAACCCGGGCATGTTCCCTTGGCCGGAATCAAACCCGGGACCCTTCAGTCCATAGGCCAACGCTCTATCTACTGAGCCAAACCGGCTAGGGCCCAATTTGTACTCTTAATACCTCCCCCCTTTTCACTCAGCCTCCAACACCCCTCCCCTCAGTCTGTTTTTTGTATCTATGAGTCTTCTTCTGTTTTGTTCATTTATTTTGTTCTTTTTTTTCTATGTATAGGTGGAATCATTCATACATGTACTTTTTAATATACAAAAGAAGTTAAAATGATTGTAGTGAGAAAGAGAAACCATTTTCTATGTGTATGTCTGTTTTTATTTCTAGGAACCTGGGGGAAGAGTGTGACGATGGAGATCTTCTGAGCGGAGACGGCTGCTCAAGGACATGCAACCTTGAGGAAGGCTTCAACTGTGCAGGTGAGTTTAGGAACACCTGTGCAGGCTCATGTCCTAGGTTTAGAGGTATCCTCATGTCTTATTTTTGTGAACTCGTGATATCCTGTACCATACAGCTTAGTGATGATGGTAACAATGACAATGACATTTGATGGGTCTGTTGTGTGCCAGGCACTAATTGTTTCACATACATTATCTCATTTAATCCCTACTCTAAGTACAAGGTCACTAAACTGAGGACCAGGGACCTTAGGTATCTTGCTTTCTCTTATATAACTAGAGATGGTGACGTCAGAATTTGAGCCAAGGAGGTGTGGCTCTAGCTACTAGGTTATACTGCCCCCTAGATTAATGTTGCCAAGGATTTCTCCTGGATCCTCATGTCTAATATCAATGTCAGCAAAGTGGCCCAATCATTATGGATTCTACAGAAAAATAAGGTAAGGGATCATTCTAAGCCAAAGGAAGTGCTGTGTTTCACGGATAAGATCATAAAGTATGACTGCGGGCCATAACATTTCTTAATCTTGGAGAATCACTGGTAATGAGTTAGAATGAGGTGGCTTTGACTCTAGACTCCTGCCACTCAGAGAGGCCACCGAGCACACTTTTCCCAATTCTGATAAAAACTGTCATCAGCAGGCTTCTTAGAAGTAGACTGTCTTCCCATTCCCATCTGCATACATTGTGTGTTTCTGTGGGCATAACCACTGAGAAAAGTTATTTAAATAAATAGTGCATTTAAAAGTATTTTCATGTCCCTAAATTTCAAGATAAAGTAGGCTATAATTATGTAGAATTTATTAAGGTGTTAAGTACTGTACAGAACACACAAATGCCCCTGCTCTCTAGAACAGAGTCGTAAAATCGTAGGATCTTAGTAGTCTTCCATCCATCCAACAAGTATATGAGCCTAGAGACACCCTGCTCCCTGCCTATATACAGGCCAGTAGTGACGTGCATCCAGCTTCCTTCTACAGCTCCTGAGAGATGGGCCCCTGTATGTAGGTCTTATTACACACTTCTAGCAGTGAATAATGCACCTTGAAACATGCTGTTCTATTTAAAAATGGCTTTATCTGCTGTCAGATTCTCCTCTCCTTCTTGGTTTGGAAACTGAGGCTGGGAGCATTTCAGCCACTCATCCATAGCATTACAGCAAGGTCCCTGCAGACCCAGGCCCGGGACACAGCTTTCCTAATACTAGTCGGGTGCTTTCTTCTTGCTGCGAAACTACAGAGGATCATTCCCCCTACACGGTTTGATTTGACTACCATTCAGAAATGCCTCCCCATTATTTTCCTTTCCAATCCAAATGCCTCATCAGGTGCTAAGGTTTCCAGACGCTTCCCCATTTACCCTGACCTGGCATGCGTCATGTGGTCAATGCCCAGAAAGGAACTCAAGACTCCAGATGTGGCCTGGATGTGCAGAATATGCCGAACCCACTACCTGCCCCCTTGTGTACACAACTATTTGTTAATCCCACCTCTGTTTGCATCATCTCTTTTTGGCATACATAGAGGGCTTATATTGAACACACACAATAAGTCTCTCTCTCTCCTCCCTGCTCCCAAAACACTGTGCCTTCTCCAGTGCAGCTCAAATCTCATTTGACTTCAGAACCAGCCTCACTTGATTGCTATCACATCTGATCCCTTTAAGTTTGCCTCATATTTCCTGAGTCTCTAACTCCAGTAAGACTACACCTAACTTTTACAGGGTGAAGTTAAACATGATATATTCCACAGTCAGACATCTGTTTCAGTGAGTAATACATTTCTAGTAGGCTAAGCATATAGTTCTATTTCATTATTTCTCCAAAGATTAGGTTTGAATAAATTATTGTAAAATATGTTTTAAAAGTGTCTGTTATTTTTTAGGTGGATTTGAAAAAGACAGAGGCAGAAATTTTAAGTACGTGATAAAAAAATGTAGAGAAGCAAGAAGAAACAGTCACCGGTTAATAGAAAAACAAAACAAATATATATATATATTATAAACAATATATACATTATAAAAGATATACATATATGTACTTATGTCTAAAATATATATGTTTATGTACATAAATATGTATGTATATGTATCTATTAATGAGAGGGAGAGAGAGAATCATCATGGGGAAGTCATTCCAAATACACATATATTGGCTTTGGGGAGTGATTTGAACAGGCCCTAGGCTTAATTAAATGCAGGAATTTAAAGCCCCAAATAGGCTTAGAACAAAGTCCTTGGAACAGTGGCTTATTCCTGGCAAGTAAAGCTCAATTTACCACAGAAGGATCTTAGATTTGAATAAATTATTAAGGAAAAATGATTAATAAACATGTTAATGAGCCATGAAAATTACTGGAAAAGCCTTGTGGTATTGCTGTGAAGAATTAAAATGACTGGTATAGTAACAGTACATTTCAGTAATGATGTATTGAGTGTGTACCTATGGGTTGCTTTAGTTTGAATCGTGATTTTGTTTTCATGTGCAGTTAAAGTAGAAGTGCGAAATTAGAATTGTGCTGCTAATAATAATTGTCCTACATTTTGGTAGAAAAAGCAGTAGAACTTAATAAATGGCTTTATGACTGCATCTCATTTTTCTACATTTGAAGCTAGTTTACAAAGCAATAGCTAAGTACTATTCACTTAGAGCCGTGGTCGGCAAACCGCAGCTCGCGAGCCACATGCGGCTCTTTGGCCCCTTGAGTGTGGCTCTTCCACAAAATACCACGTGCAGGCGCGCATGTACAGTGCGATTGAAACTTCGTGGCCCATGCGCAGAAGTCGGTATTTTGTGGAAGAGCTGGTATTTTGTGGAAGAGCCACACTCAAGGGGCCAAAGAGCCACATGTGGCTCGCGAGCTGCTGTTTGCCTAGCCGCAGTTTGCCGACCACTGACTTAGAGTTATCCTATGAGCGAGTATGGGACAGTCCTGTCTGAGCTTGAGGCAGGGTGGAGTAATGGGAACCCATTACCCCCATAATGTAAGCTTGGCTCAAATCCAAGCTCTATGGCTTATGAATCAAGGGACTTTGACAAATTACTTAAAATCACTGAGACTCAGGTTTCTTATTTATGAAACCAACAGAAAACACATACCTCACATGGTTGCTGTGATACTAAAAGAAACAATAGGTAGTAACCCTTGTAAACCTGGAGCCCAAATTGTCCAATTTCAGATCAGTTGCATAGTGAGTTAAAAATGCACAATTCAGCAGTGAAAATTAATTGAGAACCAATCCCTCAAATGCTTTAATATTTCAAAAACTATGAAAGGGACCCAAATACCTAAAACATCATATAATTTATTTAAATTCTCTTCCTTCTTTTATCCACTTTTCTAATATCGCCAGGTTCCCCTAAATATCTTGCTCAGCTATTCCTTAAAATTTATTTCTTCATCCAGCCCACAGCCACTATTTTTCCTCCCTGTTTCTTCTCCCCCAATCCCACCCCTTTCTATACCTTTATTATATAGGTGGATTCTACCACTTTAATTCTGCTTCTTTAGGGTTGTGTGTGTGTGTGTGTGTGTGTGTGTGTGGTCTGCATGTTTGGGGTGGGCATTTAGACTGTCAACTATGGGATTTTCTAATGGGTTGGCGAAAAAATGTATTTTTACATGACATATATAAAAACACATTTTCAAATGTCATATGATATTCTTTGGCAGGAGAGCCAAGCCTGTGCTATGTCTTTGAGGGAGATGGGATATGTGAACCTTTTGAGAAGGAAACCAGCATCATAGACTGTGGCCTCTACACTCCCAGCGGATACCTGGATCAGTGGGCTACCCATGCTTACTCCGCTTATGAAGACAAGAACAAGTGTCCTGTTTCCTTGGTAACAGGAGAACCTCATTTCACTGTAAGTTAAGCCAGAAGAGTCAAGTCTGACAAAATTGTGAACTGACATTTTTCTCCTGACTTTGGCATCACATTTGGTCCTTACTGAACTAAGAATAAGATAAGCTAGTCTAGAAAAGCTTTTAGACTGGCAATCAAATCTCCCCCTCCCTCCCCCCATGAACTCTCGTCAGTTTTCATCAGACTATGCAGTGGTTGGCTTCCAGGTATATAGTGGTTGGCTTCCAGGTATACAAAACCAACTTAAAATTAACCTTAGAAGTACACATAATAGAAATTACACTTGGGCTTTGTGTTTGAGAGAATTTATTTTAAAAGAAGAAGAAGAAGCAGGAAAGAGTCTGAGTGCTTGGATTACACTATCAGATCCACCAGTATAACTATTACTATTACTATGTGACGTTTGAAAAATCACTTAACCTCTCTGTGCCCCAGTTTTAATATACATAAAATGGGTATATTAATCGTTTTGCATTCAACTCAATGATTTACTACAAAGATCAAATAAAATTTTAAAAGTATATATTAAAGCCCTAACTGGTTTGGCTCAGTGCGTAGAACATCAACCTGTGAACTCAAGGGTCCCGGGTTCAATTCTGTTCAAGGGCACATGCCCAGGTTGCGGGATTGCAGGCTCAATCCCCAGTAAGGGGGCGTGCAGGAGGCAGCCAATAAATATTCTCTTTCATCATTGATTCTATCTCTCTTTCCCTCTCCATGCCTCTCTAAAATCAATAAAAAATATATTAAAAATGAAATATATGTTAAAGAGCAAAGTATAATTTGATTTAAAGAATTCTTATTATTGAAGAAACTCTGGAGTTGGTACTAAGAACAAATCTTTTGTGTACGTTTTTTTAAGAATATCCATCTAAATAAATAGGAGAACCTCTGAGGACTCTAAATATTGACTTCTATGAATTATAGTTGAATATTGAAAAGCAGATTAAGAGCTTGGCTGTTAGCTATTATTTCAGGTGTGTCTGTTGCCAAATAAACTCTTCCATTCATCATAACAATGGGTAATACATTCCTTTCCAGAGAAGTGAGATTTAATGCTCTAAGTATTTTAAGCCAGGGTAAAATCCCTGGATTTTAGACTTGTGGAGACATCCCCAGGAGATTGAGGGACCAACTAAGGTTCCCACTCCAGTTCTGGAAACTCATCAAAGACCCAGATGTCTCCTGGGGTCTAGTTCTTTGCATCCTTGGCTTGCAACTTTCTTCCTTTTGCTGGTAAAATGATTGTTGTTCTTCAAGGCATGAAGTAGGCATTTCAAGCAGGAAGAAGGGAAGTAAGTGCAGGCTAGCATCTATTATTTTTATTGGGAAAATGGCAGCTTTCCTGGAAGTTCAACACTGTAGACTTCCACCAACATCTTATTGGTCAGATCCAGGTCACTTAATCACTCTTAGTTGTAAGGGACCCTGAGGAGATGAGCATTTATAGCGAGATACACTGTCCCCTGAAACAAAACTGGAGTTTGTTAATATAAAAGTAAGGGGAAATGGATATGGATAGGCAATTAGCCACGTTGGCCACACTCCCTCAACCCAATTCTGGCATTTTTCTCAAGAGTTCTGGTGCCCAGGAAGCCAGGAAAGTTGGGAGATTCTGTTAGTGACAGTTTTCTAAAGTGGCTTTTAGTCTAGCTGTCTGTCTTCCCTAAGTGAAGTGGGAGAAACATCCTGGAATTTCTCACCTCTGGCTCTTTTGCCCATCTGAATGCTCAGCAGTTCCCTGACTCAGTAGCCTCTCTCCTGGGGCAAGTAGGTCCTGCAAGGTAAAGATCTAACCATCATCCTGGACAGACTTTCCTGGCTAATTCCAGAAACAGTTGCCTTGAATGTGCCAGGACTATTTTGGGGCAAGATCCCCTGGTTGATGGTGGGATGAGAGTTGGCACATGTGTTTTTCTACCCAGGTAAGTTCTCTCTGGAGGCTAATGGAGATGGCTGAGACATTCCTCTACACCAGTGGTTCTCAACCTTGGCTGCACATTAGATTCACCTGGGAATCTTTTTAAAATCCTGATTTCTGGGCCTCATTAGATTCCTAGGTGATTCTAATGTGCAGCCAAGGTTGAGAACCACTGGTCTACACTGAGAAAAGTGTTCTGCCAAGAATGCAACTATTAGACACTCAGAGAAAGAGGAAAACTTTGGCTTTGAGCTGGAGAGTTTCCTTGTCTAATCTCTCACCCTCCACATTTAATTTTTGGTTGAAATTGCATTTCAGATTTGCACATCCTACCATCCAGATTTACCGGACCACCGTCCCCTTCCTGGCTGGCTTCCCTGTGTCCCCAGTGGAAACAGATCTCGGGAGGAAGGCAGTGAGCAGCTAGAAGGTAGCCTGGAGAGAGAGGATGAGGTTTGGCTCAAAGTAAGTGGCCCAAATGTGTGTGTGTGTGTTTTGTTTATGAAAGCTGCAGATAGATTGTGCATGTGTTTATACACATGTATGCATACATGTGTGCACATATGTGTATGTGTGTGTTTAAACATGATTCATTGGAATGGCTTGTCAGAATATTTCCTTTTGTCATCTCAGTGTGTTTACATTTTGGATTTGTTTTCACCTCTTTTTGAAATTTATGCTTCTTTTTAAGTAGTTTATTGAAGTGTGACATACAGGTAAGTGCCAAGATCAGAAATGCACAGATGAATGGATTTTTGCAAAGTATAGACTCTAACCACCACACAGATCAAGAAACAGAACATTAGCCCTAACTGGTTTGGCTCAGTGGATAGAGCGTCAGCCTGCGGACTCGAGGGTCCCAGTTTCGATTCCGGTCAAGGGCATGTACCTTGGTTGCGGGCACATCCCCAGTAGGGAATGTGCAGGAGGCAGTTGATCGATGTTTCTCACTCATCAATGTTTCTAACTCTCTATCCCTCTCCCTTCCTCTCTGTAAAAAAATCAATAAAATATATTTAAAAAAAGAAACAGAACATTAACATCACCTGCAAAAGGTTCTATCATTCTCCTCAGTTATTATGCCACAGAGATTTTTACTATTTGTACTTTTAGCACCATAGGTTAGTTTTGTCTGGTTTTAAACTTCTTGTAAGAACCTTTATAGTATGTACTTTCATTATTACAATGTCGCATTCCAGTGCATAGATATATCACACTTTATCCGTATTGATGAGCATGTGGATTGTTTTTAGTTTTTCTCTATTATATTACAAACTAGAGGCCCAGTCCACGACATTTGTGCACTGGAGGGGGGGGATCCCTCAGCCCAGCCTGCCCACTCTTGCAGTATGGGACCCCTCAGGGGATATCTGCCTAAGTCGGCAGTCAGACATCCCCCGAGGGGTCCTTAGTGTTGCCGCAGAGGTGGGAGAGGCTCCTGCCACCACTGCTGCACTCGCCAGCCGTAAGCCCAGCTTCTGTCTTAGCGGCACTCTCACTGTGGGAGCCCACTGACCACCAGAGGGCAACTCCTGCATTGAGTGCATCATAGCTACCAGTCATTCTGGTCATTCCACCATAACAGTCGCTGGGCTTTTATATATAGAGATAGTTCTGCCATAAACTTTCTGTACACTACTTGTGGTGAATGTATAGAACTAGTTGAGTATATTTAGAACTGCTAGATCATAGATAGGCAATTGACCAGCTTCAATAGATAATCCCACTTATTTTTTCACAGTAGTTGTACTCCCATCAGAGGCTTATGAATATTGCAGTTGCTTCACATTTTCACCAAATGTGGTACCTGACACCTTAATTTCAGCCATCCTGAAATTAAGGGCATGTAAAGGATCCCCCTCTGGTTTCAATTTGTTTTGCTTATTCATTTTTTATTCTGTTCTCCTGATCTGTATGTTCTTGCATCGACATTACACTCTTACTTCCTGAATGTTTTTGATGAGTCTTAAAATCTGATAATGTAAGTTCTAAACTTTCTTTTTTCCCAGAAAGTATTGGCTGTTCTTGGTCCTTTGAATTTCCATATGCATATTATAATAAGCTTCAGTTCCACATGTGGAAAAATAATCTGATGCAATTTTAATTGGGATTTCATTGAATTTATGTCAATTTGGGGAGAGATTGCTCTTTTTAACATATTAGTCTTCTAATATGTTCTTTCAGTTAATTAAATCTTTAGTTTCTCTTAACATTTTATAGTTTTCAGTCAAAAGGCAGTTTTTATTCTATCAAATGCTTTTCTGCATCTGTGATGTTCTTATTATTTTCTCCTTTGTCCTGTCACTATCTTGACTTTGATAAACTTTTAAATGTGAACCAATCTTACACACCTGGAAAAAAAATAACAACTTGAAGGTGATGTGATGTATAATCCTTTGTCAGTAATTTGGGAAATGATTTTGTGGATATTTTAAGTGATTTTTCATCTATGTTCATTAGAGCTTGGCTCCCAATTTTCTTATAGTTTACCATCTTGTCAGGTTTTATGATGAAGGCTAGATTTTACTTCCTAAAATAAGTTTCCTTTTTCTCCAATTCTTTGGAATATTTTATGCAAGGTTGGTATTAATTTGGGAAGTATTTATTAGTGACGCTATTTGAACCTGGAGTTTGAAGAAAAAAATTTATCCTTTTTAAGCTTTCAAGATTATAAAATAATTCTGAGGGTTTTTTTAAGGTGATTTTTTTTTTGGCACTAATTCCCTCTGGGCATCTTCATCCTTTTTGTCAGCACCACTTCTCTTTCACATCGACAAGTTCAAATTCACTGAGCTTCTCTGGCTGGACACTTAGAGTCTCTCCAATGGCGGTGGCACCAGCATTCCCACAGTCAGCTATTACTTCTATAACTCTGTTTACCTTTAATTTAGATTTCACCTCCACCATTATCTTTTCTTCTTTTTTTTGTTCTGTTTGTTTGTTTGCTGCACTTTTATTCTTGTTGGCAACTTTCCTCTTCTGATTATCAATTTTTGTAAAATGCCTTGTGGTTTTATCACTGGGAGATGGGGGCAACACAACTACACACTTTTCTGTCTCTGTATGAACTGAAGGGCAGGGATACAGTGATCAATCTGTGATAGACTTTGAAAGAAGTGATGGAATTGGTCACTGATCATGATTGTTCTAGTAGTTTTTTGGCGGAATCTTTAGGGTTTTCTATATACAGTTTCATGCCATCTACAAATAGTGACAGCTTTCCTTCTTCTTTCCAATTTTGATGCCTTTTATTTCTTCTTCTTGTTTGATTTCTGTGGCTAGGACTTTCACTACTATGTTGAATTAGAGTGGCAAAAGTGGACATTCCTGTTTTATTCTCGATGTTCACCCCTAGAGTGCCGGGGAGCGCGATCGTCCTGTCTTTCGCCAAAAGTGCTGGGAGCGCTATCAAAGCTTCGAAATGGCGTCCAGTTCTAAGTCTGCTTTTATTAGTGATGATGATATTGCTAAATATGTCAGTGTAGTAAAGGTTTCCTTAAGTTTTTAAATATGTAACTTCATTTACTTGCGATTCATAATTTTTTTCCTAAACTGCTGTAAAATCAGCAAAAATGCCTTGGCAATTTTAGCATAGTTCCTAGGATATTGGTTGGCACTCAGAGGGTTAAGGGACATGCTGTAGTTTTTGCCCTTTGAGTACGATGCTGGCTATGTATTTCTATAACTTTCACTATATAAATATACTTAGTAGAGAATGTCTCCCCTTCATTGTTGGCACATGTTAAAAATTGCATTAGCTATTATTTATGAACACTTATTTTTCCATGTAAATTTCAGAATAAGCCTTAGATAACTTCTTCTGCTTCTTGAAAAACATACTGGTATATATGAGCTGAAATAATCGAACACTTGATTTTCATCAGTTGACATAATCACATGATTTTTCTCCTTTGATCCATCATTATGTTGAATCACATCGATAGATTTGTTTTACTTTTTAGATATCAAATCATTTTTGCCTTCATGAAGTAAACTTGTTTTTTTAAAATATATTCTTGGATTTTATTGGTTAATTTTTATTTTGGATCTTTGCATTTGTTTTCTTATGTGGAATTAGTTTATATTTTTCTTTTTTGAATATTCAGATTATACAAGCCTTATAAAATTGATCAGTTTCCCCTTTTTCTAATTTTCTGAAATGACATGTATCAAATAGGAGTTACCCGTTCCTTCAAAATTTGGCAGAACCCACTTATAAAACCAATTGGGCCTGGGCTTCTTAGAGAAAAGATTTATGATTGTCATTTAAATGATTTTGGTTTTTATTAAAATATTAAATTTTTCATTTCTAATTTTGGACTATTTGATATTTCCATAAATGTATTAATTTCTTCCACATGTTCAAATTTAGTGTTGATAGTTGTTCATAATGTATTTTTATATTAGCTACAGTTATCAATCCCTTTATATTACATATTTTTGGACTTTCTTTTTCTCTTTTTTTCTCCTTGATTACTCGTGCCTGGGATTTCTTCAAAACTAGCTTTCAGTTTTCTTTCTTTTATCATTCTAGTTTGATAACTCACTGATTTCTATTCTTATCTTTAGCATTTCTTCTCTTCCGGTGTCTCTGGATTTATACCTGCATTCTTTGTTAGCTTCTTGTATTGAATCCTTGAATAATTTGTTTTCATTGTTCCTTAATTTCCACCCTCAAAGTATACCGATAATTGTAGCCTATGAATGTCAACATACAGAACTTTCATTATCAATATGCTCTAAGTATTTTAAAATATCTCATAATTTCTTTTTAAAATCATGGGTTTTTAAAAGCATTTTGTTTGTTTCTAGCACTGATTTTTCAGACTATAACAACTTTATTGTGCCAGCTGTGTGTCATTGTGGAGATTTTTATTTTTCCTCTTCTTCTTGGCCCTACATTTTATTAGGAAGCACTTAAATAGTGAGCCTTTATTCATTCAAAAATTAAGGACCAGTTTGTGTTAGAAATGTGTATTCTCTATTTGTTGGTCAAAAAGCGTCTACCCACCTTAACATTTCTCTCTCTCTAGTTTGTTAAAATTATCTATAATATCCTTCCCTCCATTCCTTTATTCTTTTTTATTAGTGTTCTCTGTTTTTCTTTATTTGATCTGTTCTTTTCTTTTATTGTGCATTCTTATACTTTTCAACTTTAGATTGCAGAAAAAAATATTTCAGATAAACAGTGAATAAATTTTAAGTGTAAATAAGTCCTACTTTATATTCAAGACATACTTATGCTAAAAAATTACTTGTTGCTCTGATATTAAAATTTTGTTTTTGTTTGTTTTTCCTAAATCAGGCAATCCTTCTAATTCTTTTTAATTTAATCAGTCAGGTGACAATACTCTATTTAGAGATTACTTCAACCATCCAGAAAACCATCCAAATTTCATGATTTAGCCAAAAAAAAAAAAAAAAGCTTATGTGTAGAAGGCACCAAGTCCAATTATTACTTTGAA